AATAACCGATTATAAACTTTAATTATAATAGGCTTTTGAATATAAAAGAGCACAAAAATTAATTGATAGTCCGAAATTTAATTGGATGACTTTTCCAATTAGCGCTAAATTAATTTTCGAGATATTTGTACACATTTGCTATTGTAAAATAAATTGAACTTAAATTTTATCTTTTAGATAAAATTTTATATTATAAAAAAATTACTCGCACATTCTTTTATGTATCATATCATGTTAATATTTTAATTTAATATTAAATTATTTATCTATTTGCGATGTAACGACCGTGTTATTTTCTCCCTTTGTAACTGTTCTTGCATTAATAATTGTTAAATCTTCTTGGATACATAAAGCAAGTTTCATTTAGTAACTTTTGTTCAATTTAAGATAGCCGAGAAATTAATTCCCAGAATATCCTCTGCAATTTATGCCGCGAGAGATTGCGACATGACAAATCGCCTGAGGCGAATTAAAACTTAGATTTAGTAACTTCCAAGTTTCCCTGTAAAGGTATACTAAGCTAATTCCGACAGATAATTAAATGTAAAGTTTTCATATATGTATATATGTATATGTAAATCTATACATATACATACAATATTCACGTGCATACATATGAATATATACATTTGTATAAACATTTATACACATTTATACACATATTCACAAATTTTGCATTTAAACTAGGCGTCTCATTCAGTGAAATTATAAAAACTCAATATTTCTTTCATTGTGTAATCTGTTTGGGAGATACCAATTTTATAAGTACAGCTGCAAAATTTTTATATAAAGCAAGTATTGACAACTCTAAGATACCATATCAAAGCAAATGGAAAAAAAGATTTAACTTTAAGAAGTTTAGCATAAAATCCACGTTATGAATACGTAATAATACATTTTTTTTCGAATTTATAAATTCTTTCGAATTTATAAAAACAATACATGCAAAAAGTTTTTACGAAAATTACATTAGGTCTATATAAAATCCAATTATTTTGTATGTGTTTATTGCAACTATGATAAATTAATAAAAATTTAATTAAAAAGAAAGAAATTAATTAATTTTATTAAATAAACAAGTGAATATTTCTAGTAAAAATTATATTTCCATATTTCATATAATTGATACTTTTTAATGGTCAATTGAATTAATTACGATATCGATCAAATTGAAGCAAAGGTGCGTAATAATATATTTAATAAATCTTTGCAGTTTTAAATTTAAATGTTTATCATTTATAATAATTAATCAAATTTCTATATAATTTCGATCAGATTATACATATCTTATAAGATAGGAAAATCTATAAATGACTTTTATACGTCGTGAAAGTAAGGTAAAAGAATTACGGAAGTAGACTAACAAAGTAACGTTATAAAACTTCCAACTTGATAAAAGTGACTTTACATCGTATATAGCAGCACAAGTTATTCATGAATTTTATTTTAACGATCTTTTATCAAATCGATCAATAAACTCATGACTAATATCTTTCCTGATAATTTAAAAAATAATTTAAAAAATAAAATATGTACATAAAAAAGTAAATATTGATACAATCTCTTATAATCAATTTTATATGAAAACGTGACAAATTTTTATATTCAATCTATTGTAAAAACAAAATATAATCGCAAAAACTGCAAACGTTTTGAACTTTTACAAGAGAGTCTTCAGTTTTGTGGTCGCAAAAATAATTCATCAAACCATTAGAATATAACTAATTTTGAGACATATAATAATAAATAAATAATAATTAATAAAATATTTTTAAAGTTTCTAAATATTCACAGATCGAATTCAGACTTTATCAAAGTGAAGAAAAAATGAGGTAATACTTATTTCTAAACAAGTTTTATTGTGCCAGATCACAATATAGAAAAACGCGCGTACAAAATTCTCTACAAAAGAATGTCGAGCTTTGTTTTTAAAGTTTAAGTAATAATTTGAAATTTGCTTTAAAATAAGATATTAAACCGTCATTCGTTACAAGAACATTACACATTCCATCATCAGTGAGCAACAAGTTATATTGTGAGTTTTCCTGGTTTTTAAGAATCTTTATAAAAGTGATACCTTTCATCTTCATATTGACTAATATATTCGATACTATACATAATCATACACTTTTTGCTTTTCAATTTTGTAAAATTTTGACAATTTCTCACAGTCAAAAACATTTAATGTATATATGATATTTTATGAGAGAAATGTAATATGTAATATTACATTAATATCTCATAACATTATATTATTTTATTATAACATATAAACATATTGTTCTATAAATATTAATTACATCCATTAATATATCACGAATTAAATAGTTATATTAAATTATATAATCTCTGATATTTTTTTCTTGTATAATTTGTATGGAACGATATTTTTAGACCGGTGATACAAAACGGAAAAGTCTTCTTCTAATCTTCAAAGTCTAAATAACTCTCCTGATAATTTGTGAGCGAGTCACACACGAGAAACACTAAGAAGTCACGATAAAGATCTACGAAAGGACGGATTTGCAATTCTTTATCCAATTGGCAAGTAATTATTGATAATTCTAACCCTGTGAAACGATCTGACCGAGTCATTTCTTCTATCGTGAATCAATATAACGCTTATTTGTTGTTTAATTATACTGTGTTGTTTAATTATAATAATTGTGTCTACTTAAACGATATTCTACATTGTAAAGACTATCACAGATTTGTTCTAAAAGCCTGCAATTTTTGTTTGCGCGATAAATCGATTAAAGTTCATAAAGCAACTCCGCATTAAAATTTGCTAAAATGTGTACCCTGCACAAATTGATTAACTGTATTGGTCTAATTTGTTGACCATCGATGGAAAAATCATATTGTCGAATCTCTCAGTACGAATGTCGAAGGAACCTTCGTCTTTCTTCTTCTTTATCATAGATGCTTATAACTTTCGTCATATGTGAAAAAACTATCGAAACTCATCGTGAAAACTTTTCTCGGTGTCTACCATCTTGCTGTCGAGAAATAGGTCCATTTTACTCAGAATCTCCGGAAGATCCACTTTCCCATCTAAATTCGTGTCTGATAAAGTGATCAAATGTTGGGCCTCTTGGATGGCATGTCTAGGATTTCGTGGATCGATGTACATCTAAAAGAAAAAATTTCATTTTCATTACAAAGTTTTGAAAAGAAGATCACATTAAAAAGCTTTATTTAATTTTATAAAATATTCAATAGTCATTAAAATCAATATCTCGGAAAAACATCACTCTTGGAAAAACTCTTGGATCTTCTTTATATTTAAAGAGAAGGCAAAGGAAGATATCGCTGTCCATCGATTGCAGAACTGGCAAAGTTGTGAAGAGAGCTTCCGTGACTCTTATTAATTTATTTACGCTTTACTTTACTCACTAAAAGTTCGGTTCTATCTGCTTTCCCATTTTTGTTCTTGTCAATCAAATGTCGGAACTCTTTACGCCTATCTTCGCTGCCTCCTATCGACTGCTGTCGATCCTCGCGCAAATCCAGGCCGACTCCTTCCGACGGCAAATCCGAGAATTCGTCTTCTGTTAACTGCTCATCGCCGTCTCGATCTATGCAAACGAATCGCATTATAGCATAGTTAGTCAAAAAAAAAGTAGAAATAAAAATAAAAAATACTGAAAACGATTCCTGACCGAATTTTTCAAAGAGATCCTCCACCATTTGTAAAAGAGCTCTATGACTGCTCTCGGGATGCGTGAAAGCTAGAAATTCATCCAGAGCCAACTTTTCAGGATCGTTTCTAGCCGCCTCCGCCCAACGCGCTCTATCCCTCATTATGCTTTCTTTTAACGTCCTCGGCATCTCGCTGTGTTTCTTATCGTGGGAATTTATGTAGGTTTCAGAGAAACCGTGAGTCCTCAGGAAATAAGCGTGATATTCTTCCCACGATACTTCACCTGCCATAAATATTAAAAAGCAATTAATAATATTTTATATCAACAAATTTACTTCTTACTTATTTTGAATAAATAATTAATAAATTAATCCTATATTAATTATTTATGTATTTTTAATCAATTAACTTATTATCGATTAACTAATAAAATAAATCAATTAAATTAACACGTTTCGTGTTAATTTTATTATAAATATAAATTTTCGCACGCATACGGCGAAAATTTGTGTGGTTTGCTTTGGTATTCCACATTTATATTTAATTTGACAAATTGAAACAGAGATACAGAAACCGTTCATTAATTATTCCCACGTAATCCGTACATATATGACAGATCGAGAGAATGCCACTCGACCACAAATCTCATCAAAAAGTAAATGCCATTCGCTGCTCATTAGATAACATTGGTTAATGTTAGTTAAGCCGATTGGTTTCAATTAACGCTTGTGCAAACCGCAATCAGCTAATCAAGCTTCGATACCGTTTCTAGGATTGTTGTCGATGGCGGTGAACAAACCGACGTTCTCTCGCATGGCGCGCGTAATATGTTCGGTGATTTTCGCATGGATCCACTTGGCCAGTTCCTGAATATCCAACAATTGGTTCTCGTCAGTATCCGCCCTTTGGAAAATGTCCTCTAGAAGGCTTCTCGGATCCTGACGATTTTCCGCCTCCACGACTTCCCGTATGCTCTCGTCGTCTCTGCGATCAATTCCGACATTCTTGTAACCCGCCAAGTTCTTTTTGTCAACTGTCACGGCCTCCAATTCGACGAACAAGCTGTCCATCACGGAGCCCTCTTTGTCCCTGTCGCTTGGGGTCGATAGGCTTTTCAGAGGCACGCTTTTATTGTATTTGACAAATAGGAGCGACATATAAATCACGAGCGGTACCAAGATAGTCCAACGCAGAAATCGCATGCAAGTTAGTTCCTGTTTGCAGATCACCCTCCGTGCCTTCGAAAAGGAACACATCTTTATGTTTTAATCTTTAACGTATAAAATAATTATTTATTTATATTAATAGAAATATTATTATTTATATTAATATAAAAATAGAACTAAGCGTAATAAATATATATATTAAATTTTATATTTGTTATATTGTTAAGTATTTTCCAGAATGTATATTTTGTGTGTGTGTGTGTGTGTGTGTGTGTGTGTGTGTGTGTGTGTGTGTGTGTGTGTGTCAAAAAAATGTACATTATGAAGGAATAATATCAATATTAAATATTAGATTCGAAAAATGTGAATAAATACTTAAATGAAAAACATGGAAATTTGTAAATTATTTGTTTCGATTTTAAGCTATAATTTACAGGTATTTTTTCTCTATTATAATTATGATACAAAATAATTATCCTCACAACATACTATACTACTCCACAATATTTCATAAATATGAAGTTTAATTTATATTCATCACTAGTTTTATTATCACTAGTTTTCTTTTATTATTAATATAAATAATAGCAAGTAAATAAAATTATCTCCCTTATTTCGCAAAATAGATTTTTATAAAATAGTGCTAAATTATTCTAGTGCTCAAGCTGAGCATTAGAATTTTTTTTTAAAAAGTTCTGATATATCCATATAGATACAATAAAATAGATAATAAAATAGGTAATAAAATTTTGTAATATGGCTAATGCTCCAGCTAGATATTGCAATTTTAAAAAGTTCAAGTATTCCATGTAGAAAAATATTGACACATACCATTTATCGATTTAACTAACAAGCTATATAAAACAGAACACAAGGAATGATTATATATAATTCATTTCCGGCAAAATGCTGACAATTTCGTTACTCACAAGCTGAGACAGGTACATCTCGGCCACGTAACATGTACACGATGATCCGAGCAGCTTTCTAATTCCCTCTTCGTTCTCGCCGTCAACCACGAATCGGCAAAGTTTCCAATCTTCCCGATTCCATGCAGCGAAGATCAACCTGTCGTCTGTCCGTCACTATCGCATAATCGAACGCGAGACCGAGATACCTTTCAATCCGGGCCGTCGATGATGAGGGATATGAGGCAGAGGGAATTGATCGAAGATCAGATAGAGGGGACCCAGCCTCCCGACAAGAGCTGTCAATCTTCTTAATCGTCCCGAGAAATCGAGTCCTTAGAGTCGGTAGAGACAAAACACCTCACGCGTCTCGTCGGACACCCTCGATGCAACACCGGCGATTCGATCGCAGCCACGCGCATTCCTGTCAATCCGCGTGGAATTCGGAGATGAAGTTTACGCGTGTGAAGTGGAAACGACGACTGTCAACGAGGTGAATCTGATCCATCAACGATCGCCGCGAATGTCTTGCGAACGCGGACGGGCGGCCTCGCAGGAGAAACACGCCGCACGCTGCCAGACGAGCCGCACGCTCACCGCGTATTGATCCACTTTCACTGTCTCGTTCTCCTTCTCTACTCCCTCCGACAATAATACAAACGTGGTGTTAACGTACGCTCACCTCGGTACTCGGATATTTAACGGGGTACAAGTACAAGTACCCGACCGGTACCGGATGCATAAGGCGCTGTTACGATTTTATCTTCCCTTAAAAACGTCGTTATTTTTACAGAGAATGTAAAGGAAACTTTTTATTTTGCTACTGCAATTGCCACCAGGTAGAATAAGCTCTTCTACTGATCGAACGATGGCTATAAAAGAGTTTTAATAAAACTACAATTATTATTTTTTAATAAACTTGGTAAATGATAAAATTATTAAAAAGTTTAAGACAACTTTTTGCAGTTACTAAAAAATTTAAGAAAAAATTGTTTAATTTTTAAGGAAACATTTGGCTCATGCAACATATATAATTGATGCGCTATTATATTATTAAAAGCAGTCGTTTCTTAAAAATTATAATTATTATTTTACACCATTAAATTTATATTTATTGTTTTACATGTATTTACAGGAAAAAATAAGTGTGAGGCTAATAATATTTCAATACTTATCTCTACTTATCTCCGCGATTGTAGAATGTTCGCAGAACACGCTGCCTCGTTAATAAATTATGCAAAAGCAGAAATAAAAACACAACAGAATAGTCAAACATGTTTACTGCCTGTTGAGATATTCGTCTGCATAAAACCTAAGAATTCCTAAAGCAGAACAACGCATAAGGTATAAAATGATAGATAATTCTGAAAGTAGAATTGATTCATGAATTCCTTTTCAAATAAAAAGAGAAAGTTAAATAATCTTCTTCTAATTTTCTTGTAATATCAAATTATAGTTATTTAACAGCAAGTATAATGTAAAATATATAAATATACGCGGAATACGTAATCTCTAAACCTTTATTATCGCATTTGTATGGAGAATTAGTTAGGCAAGTCAAATTGCGTGAGTCAAAGTGTTATAAATAATGCATCCAAGCGATATATTTTTCGCGCGCGATTTTGCATTTGCAATTTACATTGCAATGAATCCATGCACAAATTCGATAATAAAAAATTCATAATTCTTCCGCATTTTTCTTATTGTCATGATATATTTCCTTGGGAATAAATTCCGAAGCGCTGCAATGCTATTATTTTGTCAGTCAGTTGTTCTCAGACTACTTTACGAAGGAAGAAAAACGTAAAAGTGTTAGAAGAAATAAAACTCTCTGTAATTGTCTCAAATTATTTTTGTATTAATTAATCGCGAGATTAATTGGATTAATCCTTGCGATATAGATTGCAGAACCCTGGGATTATTCCCACTAGGTACGCGAATAGGAAAATAGACTGTGTCCTGCACAATAGTTATCTAATTGTTTTTTTAAACTTACTCTTTAATACTGATAAGAAAAGATTGTGAAATTACGATAGAAACAGGCTTGCTATTCAACAAGTTCAAAACAACCCACAAGTCTGAAAGACATCCGGATCTTCTCTAAATGTCTTTGTACAACAATGTCTTTGTCAAATTTCTGTGTCCAGAAATGGATTTTATGTCCTTTTCAAGACGAGCTCTCAAGGAAGAATATTCATGTCACATTTTCCGCTCTGAACATTCGACAAAATATTTACCGATACTACTCTCTTGCCAACTCGACTGCTCGCTTTCGTTATCGCTCGCATTTCGACGATCGATATTTTTCGATTCGCGCAGTTTTATTGATGATTCTCTTCTTCTCTCGTGAGCGCACGCGCTCACTTAGGACTCTTGCAAGTATCCACTTGTCGTGGTTTCTCGTCCTCCAATTCCAGTCCAAAGTTCGCGATCCCCTGGACATTTGTGGCGACGCAAGGCTTTGTCTGCATACGGAACATGGTCGCGATCGGTGGACTCAGAAGATCCTGATCGACATCGGCAGGATTCTGCGCGCCCGTCGCGAAACTCACTACCAGACCCAGTAGCATGGTCAATATGCAACCGATTGCGCTGTACCACAGATAACTGGTCTGCAAATTATATTACGTGTAAGGTTACTACTTTGTCATTATTAGTATGCTTGTATAACGTTGAATAATATCTTTCTCTCATAAAATGCAAAAGCAAATTAATCCGTAAGTGCTCATGTGAGAATCAAACTGACCTAGCCCCTTTGGAAGCTACTTGCATTTACTGATTAAAAAACGTTACGTTAAGAAATATTTTTTAAAATATAGAATTTTAATTTCCATGCCTAAAGAAATTATTATTTTATATTTAAAATATATCTTAGTTTATTTACGGATATTATTCGTGATATATTCGTTGTCAACGTTTTGTGCAACATTGCAATTTACTTCATCAAGGCAAGAAATAGCCTGATAACATTATCACATGTAATACATATACATGTACATACTCGTAAATATATTAATCTTTCTGAAGATAATAATCATGGAAACCTCAAAATTATAGCAAGAATAGAATCTCAATTGAATAGCGAGAATAATTAAAATCTAAAATGACTAAATCTCTTTATAATTATGCAAAATCTAAGAAATTATAAGTTCAATATTTTGATTATGTGTAAGATATTTAATTACAGAAATGTTTCACACATTATTTTTATAATAAACTAGAAATTCAAAGGCGCATAACATAAAACTATAAATTGCCTTCGCAAAGCAATCTCAAGTCCCACCTTATATATAGACGAAACTTCATCGTCTCTGTTGTGCTCGAATTGATTGAACGTGATTGTGGTCTCGTTTATACAAGGGCAGCTTGCGATCGATATGGGCTTGCTATCCAATTGGATCTGTCCATTTACAGCCGCAACTTGAGCGCCTAATCCGATCCACAGCACGACTATCAAACTCGTGATAGCACCTACTATTGCTCCTTTAGCATTAGCCCATGGCACAAACATGCCCAAAGAGAACAGTCCTAGGGTTACACCCCCTACCATTCCATTGAAAGACAATGCAACCTAAGAACAATAATTTCTTCGATAGTGCTTTAAAGCATGTAACCTAAATAAGATAAGAAAGAAAAATTGAAGCATCCAAGCTGATTCTAAAATCTGATCATATAATGGCAATTGCGTTGCGAGATGATAATATCATAGAGGAGTATCTAAAGAATTCTTTTATTACAATCTCCAAATCTCATATTGCTCGAATTCGTAAAGTTAGCAAGGGAGATATGTAAGTCACCTGCAGGACACTCCCGAGACGCTCGACGACGAAAACCAGTGCGAAACTGAGACCTCCGAAAAATATGCTGATCCATCTGGCGTAAACGGTGCCTTTACTTGCCGGCAAATCCATTTGGAAGAGTCCGCGAAGAATGTCTTCGCAGGTTATCGCTGCCAATGAGTTTAAAGCACTCGCTACAGTTCTGGAAATAAAGTTTAAGATATTTTCATATTTTCGAGTTTTCGAAGTTTTGTTAGTGAAATAAATTTCTTTTGTTAAATAAATGTTTTTAATTTTTATATCTTTAAAATTTTTCATATCAATTTCTTCAAAATGTTTTTACGAACCCGAGAGACGCAGCGAAGATACCAGCCACGAAGAATCCGGGTGTCCCACGAAGACTCCCGAAAAAATTCATTACATACAGCGGAAGTATTTGATCCTGGCCGCTTATATATCCGGCTGCCAAAGGATCGCAGTCTTTATAGGCGCTATAGAGCACCATTCCAGTCAAAAAGTTCACGCTATAAATTACGATCATGCCGAACGAAGATACCCACAATGCTCTGTAAAAAGTCATGATTGACATTTCTTCGCATATAAAATTCATCGAATCGTGTTTTAATATAGTAAATAAATTCATTCGTGGAATCGTCATTTAAAACTTCTTTTTAAACTTTATGTTATTTTCTCGGAAACTTACATTCTTACTTGCGAAATGCTCTCAACACTGAGATATTTCTGGACTGCCGCCTGGTTACTGCAGAACATGGTGGCCCAGTAGAAAGTACCACCGATCACAACACTCCAGAAGCTATGCCGTACTGTAGGATTAGGATTCATATTGAAAAATTCTATCCTGTCGGATTTCGCGTTCTCTTCCCAAATGACTGCGATTCCACCCGCCCAAGACAGTCCGTAGCCCAAAATCAGGAACAACGAACCGATAAGAACAGCGGCTTGAAAGGTATCGGTCATTATTACAGCTTTCATACCACCCTGTAATAATAAATTCTGTTACGTTTATGTAAACAAAATTATATTCTGTGTTATAATTATTACACGTAATTAAATAGACACAGATATTTTATTATTCATACATTTAAAAGATTACAAACCTGTGAGGCGTAAAAAATGCAGACTACGTAGACTAGAGTGACGGCTATATAAGTATTCAGGCCCGTGACTGTAAATTAAAGAGTATCATTTATAATTTTAAAACTACTAAATTTTAAAAGTGACTATTAATTACAAAGTTACTGAAGGGTTGGTCGTTATGAGCTCCTAAACCGTGGCGAAAAATATTTATCAATCAGTTTATAACGAGGAATGTAATGGGAATAAAAGAATTTTAAAAAAATTTCGAGTGTATAAAGTTATTATCTTTTTCCTTTTTTAAAATTATTTTTTGCAATTTAACAGCTCAAAAGTGGCTAAACTTCAAGCGTTTTGATTTTATCTTATGTCGCGAAAAATATTCTCCAAACTTCACAATCCTCATAATTTTTATTATTTCTTATTTTGATCAAACTACAAGAAGTAATCTAATAAATAAATTTTTGTTATTCTGCTTTTAAACATAATAATGATAATAAAACTGACGGTACTGTTCCTCAACGATAAAAATGAAAACGCAATAAAAGTTTATGCTTTTTTTATGCTTTTTTTTGGATCAGATCGTTTTGGAAGATACTGGGATTTTCAAAATTAATTTAAAAATTGTAGATTATTATACAGAGTCATCATACAGTACACTTACCGTGACTTAATGCTAATGCAGGTGCATACACAGCCACTGATGTATACAACACCATTTGCAACATGTACAATACGCTTGCGAGCAATCGGCAATTCTTGTCGAAGCGCAGATGTAGATATTCGTAGCTCGAAGTCAGCCTTAATTTCATGAACACTGGCAGGTACAAACGGGAGGTGATCGGTACCACGAGAATGAAAGAGAGACAAGTCATCCAGAATTGAGTACCCTGCAACGGAACCAGTGAAACTTTCGAAAATGATCCTTGTTCAAAGGAAAATCTATTAAATATTTAAAAAATTCTTTTTTCGCGAATTTTCGGATCTTTGAGTCATCGCCATTTCTAACTTTGAAAAATGATGTCATCAAACCTGTTTATACATCTCTGCAGGATTTCCCAATAACTCGATGGCCGTGATGAAGGTGGCGGCTAACGACATTGCTGTGGGAAACGTGCCCATGGTGGAGCCGCCCAACAGAAAGTCCTCGCTAGTTTCCTGCTTCTTCGAGAAAAAGCCATAGAAGGTACCGATCAGACACGAGATCAACAGCATCGTAGCGAGTACCGTGTAATCCGCCCATGAGAAATAATAGAGCAAGGTGGGATGCTCCGCGCGACATTTCTCCTCATCTTTTACGTGCCGCTGCTCCGCAGATGACGCCGACAGGAAGAGAAATAGAACGAAAAGATGCGGCCGCATTTTCTAGAAATATTCACCGATTATTTCTCATATTTTATATACTGTATTTTTAGATTTAATAAAGAAAATCTTATAAATTTAAGCGTTTATTTTGATAAATTTCGATAAATTTAGAAAAACAGTTCTTTTGTACCAAAAATGAAGTAATTTTTAAGTTGAGTAAAAGTAAAATGCATTTATACATATGTATATTAATATAACAAAATTATTTTTTTATTTTGTTTAATGTCTTTTGTAGGATATACTTCATTTATAGCAATTACTTATATGCAGCAAATAATTGAATGTAAACTTTGATAACGAATCAAACTATTTTTAGAAAAATAGGTCAACTTAAACATAAACTGAAATTGGAAAATATAATAGATACAAAAATAAGATTAACATTACGTTTATTCAGAAATCTGTAAGTTATAGATTCCTTCAGAAAATACACTGGTACAATCTCAATCACATTATTATTTATTCATTAATCATTTGCTGCATTAATTATTAATCAATTCATTTACTTCATGATTTATACATGTAAGATCAATGTTTTATCGTATGATTACGTTCCACTTAAAGTTAAAATTTTATATATGTCAAGTTGAATTTTAAATATAATATAATCGTAATTAACTTATTAAAAAAATTATCTAACAAAAATTAATATAATGAATTAATATAAATTTTAATATTTGTGCCACTCATAGGCACATTAAGTTCTAGAAAATCATTTAAGAACATTCTTATTTTAATAACGTTTAAATAAATTGATATGAGTTTGTATCAATTGATTCTTTGATTTGACATCGTTCACCTCAAATCTTATCGATCACGTCAAAGATAAATCTTTGTCATCAATACAAATATCATCGGTTAACTTTAATCAAAATATCAATTAACTCAGTCAATGTATCAATGTGACGTCGATGATGTTAAAAATTTATAGAATCTTAAAGAGACATGTTGGATTACTAGAACGGAAACTTTACTAAAACGGAATTAAAATTCTAATTTTTTAATTTTAATTTTTTATAAAATTTAAATTATATTAATAATAATAAAATTAAATTATTAATAATAAAATAAAATTTTATTTTGACAGATTGATAATTAAATAGACACGGTGGCTAAATTACAAATTATAATTTTCAGATTTAAACAGAAGCAAATACGAGGTAGTTTATTAAGTATCCACTGCATAAATTAAAAACTGAATAATTAGACAAAGCATAGATCTTTATCCAGAAAATCACGTCATTTATTGCCCAACTATTAATTATTAATTATTCTGCTTGCGTAGAATTCACAAGAAAATATAACATATGATTGAATCATCGATTCTAGTTATTTGATAATTTGCGCATAGCTACAAACAATAACTGTGAGGAACTACTGTTAACATATTCACTAACACAACTACTTCTCGATCACTATTAGAGGTGTGTTTGGATCGATTAGAATGATAGTTTACACTGGTTAGAACTGGTTAGTTTGATATCGAAATATAATCTGATTATATATATTAGTCGAAAATAGAAGCAAATATAAAATTTTCGTAAAAATTTTTTATATTGTAAGAAAATTATGTAAATAGAAATTAATTAACAAATTAATTAATAAAAATTAAAAATACAATTTAGATACAATTTAGATATTTAATACAAAATAGATTTTTAAAATTGTGTAAAAAAAATCATTTCTTATCATATTTATAAAATCTCCACAAAATAATAATTAAATTATTTAATTGTTTGCTCAATTATTGCAACTATAAAATAATAAAAAATATGCTAACAGTAAAAAATGTGACTATCTCACATATTTTTAATAATTGCATACAATTATTGTACACTACTTATCGTAAAAAATTATACTTTTTATCACTGTGCTTTTGCTTCTTGTAGAACATTAATCACGTAACCGATATTTAACTAGACAGGATTTCTTACGCGTGAAGAAACAAAATATTGAAACTTTCTGACCATTTATCATGCACCAAAAATGCTAAATATTAATAACATATTATACAAATAATATATAAATATAATATAATATATATAATATATAATATATAATATATAATATATAATATATAATATATAATATATAATATATAATATATAATATATAATATATATAAATATATTAATATAAATAAAAAACAATTTTACTTTATTAGTAATAATTAACTATAAAACTAAAAAAAAGAAAGAAAATAATTTAAAATTAAATTAATTACAAAGTTATATAAAAAGAAAAAAATAATATACTATTATATATATATATATATATATATATATATATATAATAATCAATATATAAACAAAATTTATGTAAAACTGCATTCTTCATCGTATATAGCAGCTCGATTGCATCAGAAAAATTAGAAGAGAAAGTGCACAATCGTCAATTTGAAAGTTTACACACTTCAGTTTACAGAAATAAATGTTTCCTCAGCTTATTTTAAATGAAAAAAATTAAAGAATTTAAAAAAATAAATAAAAGACATAAATCTTACCACTCGATGGCTTTCTTCAAAACGTGGGACGGATCACCCGATTCTCGAGAAGATCTATGCGGGCGGCGGAAAATTTTAATGCCTGATCGCGAGCTTAGTCGCGAGTGCCAGTTTCCGGTAGGAACGTGCGAAATTGCAGCTGAATGATTTTGCTCGTTTTCCTAATGTAACGCATATATGATCGGCTGATAAGCTCTCTTCGAATCTCGCTCTTACGCGAGTAAGAGTCCGCTCGTCCCGACTGAGAGAACTTGCGATCTCAGACGAGGAATCAAGAGTATTTGCAAAACGCTTTCGGCTTACGATTTCCGCTTTCCCTTCCGCGAAATTCTCCGTTCGTGATATCCGCGATGTAAAGGAACGCACAAACGACGAATTAAACGGAGAACAGAATCGAGACTGATCATTTTAATTGTCACGTGTGCGCCTTTATACGAACGGTCCCATCATCATCCCCCTTCTACTACGTGTGACTGGTTTCAGCGTGAAACTCACGAAAACAGTAACAATCATCTAGTTGCATCGATAACAAATTGATAAATCACGTAATTGATTATACATCACTTCAATGATTTATCCATTGTTTTGTAATTCCGCATATATTTATGCAAATTGTGCGCTTTTGTCGCTTTCTCAATCGTATTTTGACTTAAGATAATAATTTCAAGAATAATACTTTTTTTTGTAAGAATAACATATGCAATATAATTCTATATTTAATTTTTATGAAGAATAAAATAGAGTAAAATAATATATAAATAAAACATTTTTATTTTTGCAAAAAAATTATGAATATTTATTTGTTTGCATATAAAACACAAAGATACGTATGAAAACATTTGAAAAATTACTAAGTCAATTGTTAAGTTCAACAATGAAAATAATGGTAGCACGTTCAATTGTGTTTTTTCTAAGATTTATGTATTTTAAGGTTAATATAACACAACAGTAAACATTATTTGAGATTAGGAATTCATTGAAAATTATTTGATTGCATATAAAATCACTGTAGCGTAATAAATATATCGTCAAATGGCGGACATTTGCCAGAAATATGTGTTCAAATAACATAAATCAACGCTTGTCCGCCGAATATCTGATCCTATAAAAGTCCATCTTAATAATTTATTTTGCGTGAAAAAATAATAAAAAAGAAGAAAGAAAACACATTTCCTCGTTACGGTATTCTACACCATATTATTATCTAGCGCATTCAAAATGTTAATGATCAGAATTAATGATTTAATTTATGAATAAAAAGATATCAAAAAAATAATGAAAAAAATAACAACGTGTTTAACAATAATGTGTTTTTTATTTTAAAAAATTCAGTATGTTTTCTGCTTTAATATTTTATCATTATATTATTAACATGATATTTTTATTTTCTTTGCAATGAAAAGGCAAAGCCTCTTTTGTTATAAAATATTTAAATCTAAGAGCATCTTTTGACAATAAAATTCAACATATATTTATTCGATAGCATTTTTTGGAAATTATTCCTTATATAATAAAAAAAAATGAAGAATTTTCGAACTTTTAAAATTTAAAAACAAAATTATTTCTTATCATTGTCTTTTCTTTCGCTTCTTTGAAAAGATTAAGATCGTTTCTCTCTCTCTCTCTC